AAGTTGTGGGAGTATAGTCACTTGTTACTTGTGAATATGTTTGAAATACTTTAATTTTTTAACTGCTTAATATAGTTGAATGTACAATAAAATATTTGTTACCAAAACTTATAGTTCAGTTGTCACAATCTGGGGATGATTTGTCACCGGGTGGTGACATGCATATATTAAAATGCACATGTATCGTTACCTAGCCGTGTCGAATCAACATAACTGAGCACAACCTCTTTTCCATTCGCGGTGTTGGCATTGTAATAACGGTATGTTGGGCTGACACCGCAACGGTGTGAAACATAACTGACACCGCGCTGTGTTAGTTTGACACCAAACCGGTAGAGTCATATATAGACACCGGGCTGGTGTCAATTCGGTGTCGATTTTTCTGTGAGTGTACATGTTGACACTCGAATAAGGTTATGTATTCAATACCTTTGTATTATTCGCTATGTGTAGGTTGAAAATGTTCCCTTTATTGATACATACATGGCAGAATTTGTTGCCTAAGTACATACTTGTTGTAGACGAGACTTGATTTTAATTCAACACACAAAACAAAAATTTGTCAAATCAACACCGCCGTGTGTCAATATATGACTTAACCGCCTCGGTTACAATTGTGGTTCCGGGTGGTAGTGAAATTTTTCCGTCCGGTCATAACTTTATAATTACCGGTATAAAAATTATCATAACTCGGATTCAACATTGTAACCAAGGCGGTTAAGTCATATATTGACACACGGCGGTGTTGATTCGACAAATTTTTATTTTGAGTGTATATTTCGTGCTCGTTATTTGTCTAAGAATGCTGTACCGCTGTTAGTGGGTGCTTATTAGGTACTACATACATACATATGTCTTTGAATACCATATTATGGCATTTTTGTGGAGCTTCGTTATTATATTTTTAACAAAAAAATTCAACCATTACATGAGTTATTTTTATGCTACACTAAAATAGTATTCGGGTCGTAGGGTGTGATCCGTCGCAATGGATAAACTGTTATCAATTTTGTACCAGGGTCCTACATACGCTTCACTAATTACTAGAATTGTAGTTAGAAATGTGGTGATAGTCTTTTAAAAGATGGGATTCATAGAAAAGCTTCTCTGTGGCCTTATGAATTTTGGGACACGTTCGTACCCGAAAGGCAACTCGTATTCATTTTTCATGCGTTGATAATGCTATGAAATGCTATTCTTAATTGTGTCTTTTTCCTCAAAATCAAAACGTGGTTCTCGCTAAATATATTCAATAAATGTGCAAATATAAGGTGCACCATGCAAACATATCCGTCTATTATTTTCGAAGATAACTACGTTCCGGGTAATAATAGATTAGAAAGAGTGGATCTCTTACATTAATATTTGCATTTTCAATCGTTCTTATATTTGTACCGGGAGATAAATAATTGTATCAAATTGTATGGGTGGTATTGGAATGCGTTGTGCATTTCAATGTCGTTATTATCTATATTTTTATTAATAGTTTGCCTTAAATTGCGGTACAATTAAGTCATTAATCGAAAAACGTTTCATACTTGTTCATTTAAAATTTTCAAACCTAAAATGAATTTCTACGCATAGAAAACTTAAAAAGTTAAAATTATGGAAAACTATACTGGGTAATGTATACCGCAAAAATATATCAAAGTGCAACTTCAATTTTTATGTAGCTTATCATTTGATAAGATGAATTTCTTAAGTTGAAAATTTAAATAAATTAATGACCTCATACCATCCAGAAAAGGTCGAAGATCTTATAGAGCACAGGTCACTTTGGACATTTATATATTTTTTTATATCTGTCACTTTATCTGTCAAATACGGTTTTGAAAGGAGTTGTTGTTTCAACAACGTCTTCCCTGTATTCAGGTGGGTTTTAGATTGCCTGGCATCCCATAGAGTCGGCGGCATAATATTGGCTAAGAGGTCTGCACTTTCTGTCCAGGAGCTTGGGTGTGATACAAGTTAATTCGTGAAAATTGTAGATACTTCACGATTTTACATATTACATAATCATACGGAAGTTAATAGAGAACTGTTATATTACAAGATTCACAGCCATTTTTCATCCACATACGTTTTAGGAGTTTAATCGATTTATCGAATCTTCTCAGAATAGTATTGTCCCTGACTTGTTGCGTTCTTACACTGTAGGATATTAAAGAAGTTAAATAAAAATTCGTGACAATGGTAAATATTTCACGATTATTTTACATAAAAAGATAGAAATGAATGTAAAACTGTTCCTTAATCCAGCTTGGATATAAGGTCGAATAAAGTATTAATTTCAAACGTATAATATAATCCACACTTTTTGGGTGGTGATTGGTTTTTGGTTTTGGAATGCGAAAATGAGTTCAAGTGGTATGTTGCATGAAAACGGTACATTTTAAGTTTATTAAATTATAATTGTGTTGCTTGTATTACCTGTGTTTATACTAGATACACATACATATGCACATATGTGGAGCATTTTGGGACATTGTTTTTACCTAGACTCCACTATTCAAATCTCTTTTAGCAATTACTGACTCACATATATCGTTTAATCATTTGTATGAGACTGTCCATCATAAGCTATATACCTATGTGCATATGCATGTAAAAATGCCTCTTTCAAGCCAAAGTCATTTCTCCTCTACAAATTTCTTAATCAAGGCGGAAGTAAAATTATTCAACATTTTAAAACTGCTGCATTATTTGTGTAAGCTCGTAAATCTTAATAATGACATAAAGGCGATGCAAAAAGTGTAGAAATGTGTACAGTGATTTTTAGATGATAGGAAATAATTATCGATATAGAAAACTGATAAATCAACTTATATATATTTCGAATATGTGGTACAAGGCTATTGAATAGGACTTTTACCAATCAATAAGTAAATTTAATACAGATACGTATGTATAAGATCAAGACAAGATTTTAAAGTCATTGATCTGTTTATCGATTTATTAATTGTGAATATTTATGAATAGTGCAATTGATTTTTAGTTAGGTTAGGTCCAGTTTTCGAATGTGCTGCAAGGACCACCACAATTATCGCTTGGCGATTTAATTCATAACTAGACTAAAATTGTAAAACTATTGAAAAGATTCCGTACTCCAGCATCAATCATAACGTGAAATCTTCAGAATCCTCAAAAATCCATTGCACCTTTTCCAGAGGAAGTTGGGACAAGACTAGTGTATAAGACTTTTACCATGAAATTAATAAATTTAATGCAGATATGAGTTCAAGATTTTAAGAACATTGATCTATCTACTGGTTTAATAAATCTCTAATGGCTGGTTAGGTTAGGTCCAGTTATTAAAAGTAGTGCACGGCTCTGCACAATTATCTTTAGGCGATTTAATGCGTAGAATAACGGATGCAAACCAGACCAAGAGTACTACAAAGCTCTTTTCCATATTTAGCGTGAGGCAGAGTGAGATTCGGGTTCTGGTGGGTATCCGCGATTATCGCGCGTCAGTGCCGTATCCGTCTCACTTTGCCGCGCTCACACAATCATGCGTCTTATTTAATTAAGTATACTGGGTTATCTAAATGTTGTCTTATTAAAATACAAAAAACTTAAATGTTGGTATATCCCTCATTAGCCCTCGTTTGTTACGGCACTTGCCGTATAAGTCACTCCCACAGACACTTTGACCCCAAAAATCTCATGGTCCCAGGCATTTCTCGTCGGGCAACAAAAGCTGAAAATGTAGCCCTTCATAAGGAGAAAATTCTGGCATCAGGTTGTCAGACTGAAAATGGCTGGGACCATGACTTTTTTAAGGATTTATGTGTATGCAAAAAAACCTCCAATTTTCGAATTTTGAAACTCTTGATGCATCAAAATGTTCGTATTCCAGGGGGAAGTCAAATTGCAAATGCAACTTGGGGTCTTATTCTTTTTGTGCCGAGTGTACATTGACTTTCTCATTTTTCACGATTTCCTTTAACAATTTTTGAAGGGGGGGTGGTTGCATATAATTCGAAAAGACCTATGGTATATTGATGTTTCTACCCGAAAATAAATTTTGGATTTTTTCTGGGAAATTCGGTGAAATCGACGCGAAAAGAGCTTGTACTTTTGGCTCATTTTGTACCAACGTTGTAATGCAACACGTTTTGAAAAGATTCTGTACCCCAACATCAGTCATTGGCATCACCCTAAATCTCCAAAATCCCAAAAAAATCCATTAAATTTTATCGTTAAGAGGTTGGTGCGGGGATTACAGCCAGATTGTTTGATTTTTTTGTTTAATTTCTATCAGTGCAAGTTTTTTTAATGGTGATTTATGTGAAAATGAAAAATGGTGAATTTATTGGCTTAAACATTTGCATTACCATGTATGTATTTGATACATACATACCTAGTAAATACATACCTAGTCGTAACAATGACATTGGGGCGATGCAAAAATTGCAGCAATTTGCACTTTGTTCGATTATTAGGTCTTGGGAAATAAATATTTAGCGATAGAAAAGCGAATAAATCATGTTGGACTGAACTGAATACGTGGTACAAGATTATTGTATAAGACTTTTACCAATCACCCTATAAATTTATTAGAAATATGAGTTCATGATTTAGAAAAACATTGACCTATTTACCTATTTAGTTAGTCCGGTTGATCTCTAATGGCTGGTTAGGTTAAGTTCATTTATCAAACGATCCACACAAAGAGGCGCATTTTTTTCTGGCCGATTTAATTGAATTCAAGAATAAAATAAAATTGAATGCAAGAAAAAAATCTGTACTCAAACATCAATCATCACCCGAGATCTTCAGAATCCATAAAAATCATTATACCATGTCGCGAAGTTGGTTCGGAGGTCACAGCCTGAGAGCCAGATATTACGGTATTCTGATAATAATTTGCCAAATTTAGAAAATACATGTGCATCAGGCTGAATCCAAGTTTTGGTTGAAAGTGAAACTTAACATTTATATTATTTTAGGTAAAAATTTTATAAATTATTTAAATACATTTACCAGAATATATCAAGTGTAAGAAATTGCTATTTCTTTCGGATGGTTCCAAATTAAATTTCATATTAGGAATTTAGATATACGAGTGATGTTGTTAGGAACCCGTCGTATTCCTGCGAAGAAGTCTAGTTGGATGAGTGCAAAGTCGCCGACCGTGTTCCAGGGGGCATCAGATTGATGGATAGGGACGACCGCCCGAGTCATAATTGATTTTTTACTGATATCGCATATCTGATGTGCTGTGCCATGAAATTGTGCCTCTTATTTTTTTGTACGTATTTTTTTGTATTATGTTTACATGATTGTCCAAAATTGGGATAGTATTTTGGTTAAATTTATAATGTATTTAAATCAAACCTTTTTCTTCCCGAAGCTCTAACACCAAAGGTTGTTGTTGTAGTTGTACCTATGTTTTGCCATGTGCACTGAGAGAATTTATATCGAATTGCCTTGTAGGTGGAGGTGCTACGCGTGGATAAAGAAGTAGATTGGTTTTATTATAAAAATTTTATTTATTTCACATGAATCAAAAATATTATTAACCTTATGTTCCTACCTTTAAGTTTTGTCTGGCCACAATTGGTTTCAGTAGTGCAGCCAAAAATGTTCAGAGGATAGAGATATTCTAAAGTGTACAGGGAAATCTCTAAGTAACAATGTATGTGTATAACAAAATGTGCCGCTGCTTAAACCATCTATCTATGAGGTTGAACATGTTTCTATACACTTTTGAGCACGTATTATCTGACAATGCGATGGTGTGAAGTGTAACCCTCCGATTTGGTTGAAATTTTGAAATTATGTGGTCCATGTCAATACAACCAACGTTTCTGCAGGCAGTTTATGCGATGGTCAGAATTTGGCAAAATATTTGAGGTCAAAGTTGAAAAACGTGCGATTTTTAGCACGGGAAGAGAATGGAAGTTGAGTTTGCTTCCTCCGCCTGGTAAAAATCGTCCGTTTTTTAACTTTGACCACAAATATTTACCATCGCACAAACTGCCTGAAGAAACGTTGGTTGTATTGACATGGACCACATAATTTCAAAATTTCAACCAAATCGGAGGGTTACACTTCACACCATCGCATTGTGAGTCTCCATGTAAATTGGATGTGTATATGTATGTACATCCAATACGACTAAAAGTACGACTTAAAGCTTAATTAAAATCGATTCTGCTTCCGCCGTGCTGATTTCGAGTTCTAACCTTTGGTACAACACGTGCCCCTATGAAAAGTTATATCATTTCGGTTAATTTGATCGACACTTTTGAATTTGATTTCTTTTGAGTTCATCACTGATTCCCTTGCAAATAATTATGTATGTACCTTGCAATCGCTATTCCTTGTAGTCACTTTTCAAATGAATCTGATAATAATATAAAAATTATACTTTTGAACAGGGTAAAGAATAATCCTGGATCTTTATGTCCTACAGTTCTATTACACGTTTTAATTGATATGGGGATAGAAATAATGAAATTAGCATTTAGACATGAAATGATGTATTGTATCTGTCACTAAACAGTCATTGGTGAGATTAACCTTCCAAAAATATTTAATAATTAATTTGGCCTGTATTCAAATTAAATTACCCTCAGAAGTAGACCTACAAACACCCCAAATTTGATTTATAAGCGTCATTCACTTTAGCCATAGTTATTATTGTTTTGCCAAGGTTACTTTTTAATTTTCCTTGATATCTTTAAACACTATTTTGTGGCATTCATGTGGAGCTTGAGTATTATATTTTCAGTGAAGAAATACAATTATTTCATTACATGAGTCATTTTGATGATATACTTATATAGTATTCGGGTAGTAGGGCGTGATCCGTCGCAATAAACTGTGATCCAGTTTCTACTCAGATCCGACGCCTGCCTCAGTGCTACATACATAGGATTGTAGTTAAAAATTTGGCGACAGTCTTATATGAGATGGGGTTCACAGCAAGGCTGTATGTGACATTATCAATTTTGTGATACTTTCATCTCCGAAAGGCGACTCGTTTTTCTTACGTATGTAATGCTATGAAATGCTATTCCTAATTTTTTATTTTTCATCATAATCAAATCATGGTTCTCGTGAAATATGCTTTACAAACTTGCAAATCTATATAATATAATAATCTTTATTGCATATATAGCCAATAGCTCTTGCAAGTCACAATCATCATTTCAAGTATAGGTACATTTTAGTCAAATTTTAGTTTAGAATAATTGTGATAGTAGTCAGGGGAGTAGAGGGAAAACCAGACTATGGTGGTCAGTTTGGAAAACCTCTACCTGAACTGGGAAGGTTACCCAGTTCACCATTCGGCCCTGACTACCTGTAAACCCAGGTTCGGCCAGTGAATGACAGAGATTATAGGCGATTTACATATCGGAAAAATGGTGGCATCCAAATGAGTAGGCGCCGTGCCGGTAGGGATACGACGGGTATTAGGCTGGAGTGGAGCATCCATGGACCACAAACTAACCAATGACCCATTTCAGGGTTCGGCCTAAGTGACCCCATAAAGGGGCCATGACCCCATAAAGGGGCCATGACCCCACAAACTAACCCCTCCCATCGCAGCACATGACAAAGTCATGGGAACCCCGTAGACCTAGCCCAGCCGCCCCCACCAACACCGCGCACACTCACTTTTCCGCCGACCACCCCCACATGTTCACCACCCCAATTTATCAAACAAAGGTCTCACCTGGGGGAGTCCTCCATGGCGTTGATCCTCCCGTGCACAGAGTCCGACGAGATCCATCTTCGCCTGATGGTTCAGCTTGTCGTTGCTGGGACGGGTGTGGCAGGGGGTGTCACTAGGCACGCAGGTGGGGGGTGTGAGTGGACGAGGCTCACGTGGTGTAGAGGCCTTAGCACACACTTCACTTGCCCTGGCACACCCGCGACCCAGATGGAAGAGAGAGAATCCAGATGCAGAGGGAGAGAGAGATACGTGATGCACGGAAGGAAGCCAAGAGAGAACTTGCAAATCTAAGGTTCACAATGCAAGTGTACCCATCAATAATTAAGTTAGATAACCATGCACGTCCCTAGTAATAATAGTTGGAAAAGGTGATCTTTTACAATATTTATATTTGTAATTAATATTTACAATTAAGCCGGGAGTTAAGTAATTGTATTAAATTTTGTGGGTGGGTGGCGTTGGAATGGAATGCGGTTGCTACAGAGGGTAGGGCAAGAAGAAGGAGCCACTCTAATTTTTGGGGTGGCGTGTGATGCACAGTCGCGGCATTTTCAAAATTTGCATATGTCATACCCAGATAGTTAACGAAAATTTAGCACTATTCAGATTTTCCCTACGGTTAAAAATGCCCCTACAGCACCCCCCAGAGTGCGAGGCACGCATAAAAGTGTTTTCCAAAGACATATTGTGCCAGAGAGCGATAGTTAGAAGACTTGCTGCAAATGGATTTATTGTCGGTCGAAAGTACGTTTAGAATGTACTTAAAAACGTTGGAATCAAGCGGAGGGAAAAAGCGGTTAGAGCTCCACCCCCACGGAAAGGATACCCAAGATCCGCCTGAACCAAAAAATTGATCCGGAAAATCAATTTTTTCGCCAAAACGGTAAATCCAGCAACTAAAAGTTGCATGGCGAAAATGTTAACCGTTAGTAGGAGAACATTTCTAGAGTCATTCACAATGACCTACTACGAGTGACTCGTAGGAAATCCCGAGATCATGCTCTCAACCCAACTTATTTTTCACAAAATAGCAGCCTACACGAAGGATTTTTAAAAAAGTTTGGGTATAAGGGGCCGTTCATAAATTATGTAACGCAAAAATCGAGATTTTTCAGACCCCTCCCCCCCCTCGGTCACACTAGTGTAACGCAAGACCGCTACAGGTTCAGGCAAAGTGGCTCCTTCTTCTTGCCCAACCCTCTGTACTAGTCTTTCATGTGTTCACCTATATTGGTATGAATATTATGCCTTAAATGCCTTAAAGTCATTAATCAACAAACCTTTCATATTCTTGCATTTAAAATTTGCAAATCTTACATCAATATCAAACCATAGAAAGGTAATATTGAAATTACAGAAAATTATACTGGGTAATGTATAAATACTGCAAAAAGATAGCAAAACGCAACCATCAATATTTTCCTGATAAATTGAAAAGATGGATTTATTTAGTTTAAAAAATTCAAATACATTAACATCATTAGACCGGAAGGTTCTAACGAAAATCCCATAGGAGTCCCTTGCACCTAGCCCAGCATAGGTTTTCAACCAGTTGGCAGCCAAATTGCTTGACTTTATTTGTTAATTTTCGTCGGTGTATCTCCGACGAATATCGAAATTTTGGAAATAGTTATTTTATTAGTTAAAAAAAATTGCAGCTAATTTAACAGCAGCCTTAAGCTTTTTCATTTTTGCATATTTTCTTGTACTTTGCCAAGTTAATATATTTTTGAACTAGTTTAAAATGAAAGGGTTATACACACATTTGAAAAATCCAACCAAAAAGTCTTATATATAACATAATATTTAATGTACTTTTTAAACATTTTGCTATTTGCTTGTGGGCCCCCAAAACATAGTTGCGCCAGGCCACGTGGTCAATACTTTCTATTTCAGAAAAGTTCCACAAGCCTGATGTTAATGAAGTTAAAGAATTTGTGAAAATGGTAAATATTTCACGATTTTCCATACATATTGGATAACCAGACGGAGGTAAATATATTTTAACTCCACGGTTTTAGATGTGATCGATGTAATCGAAGCGTCGCAGCATTGCATTGTCTCTGACATGTTAAGCGCTTTCAATGTAGGATACGCATATAGAAGTTGAATAGATGACAATTCGTTAAAATGGTAAATATTTGACGATTGTTTTACATAACCAGAGAGAAATAAATGGAAAACTTTGCCCGATCTATATTGAATATTAGGTCGGATAAAATATTAATTTCAAACTTATGATATAATCCACACTGTCGGGGTGGAAAAGTGCTTGTGTCATTTTTGAATGCGAAAATGAACGAGTTGTTGAATTAGGTAGTCCTTAATGTGAGAAACGAAACATTATGAGTTTATTAAGTTAAGGTCTTTCATGTACATATTTCTACTACATGAGCATACAAAATAATACAAATGTATGTATGTACAGAATTTGAGGACATTAATTTTACTTGAATTTCTCTATTTTAATCTCTTTTAGCAATTATTCACATTTATGAAAATATTCATCTCTTCTCAATACACTTCTTAATCTTTGGGGTTGATGCAATATGTAGTAAAATTATTGCACGGCTGCATACTTTTAAATATACGCTCATAAATCTTTCTTGTTAATGACGCGAAAAAAGGGATGAAATACATATGCACTACGATCTTTAAGCTCATGGGAAATAAATAGTGATAGAAAATTTGGTAAATCAACTTTGATTCAAAACGTAGGATAAGACTATTATGTAAGACTTTTACCAGCCACTAAATAAATTTATGTAATGTAAGTACTAGTTCAAGATTTGAAACATGTTTATCAATTTAGCATCTTAATTTTGACATGCAAAAATTCTAGAAATATGTATCGAATATGAATACGTTTTTAGGCTTGATATGTAAATAGCCTTTAAGAATTTTGGTAAATCGCTTTGGATTGAATATGGTAAAAGACTATTGTACAAGACTTTTTCCAACTACGTATAAGAATTCCTGTATCTAAATATTGTAAGCTTAATTTACATATTTAATGTGAATGTAGATACTTAAACATTTGTCAAAGTAAAATTAAATAAAAGTTGTAGGCTTAATACTTGTTTGATAAATAAATCTTCTTCTTCTCACATGTCAATAAATATGTATGTATCAAGGTAATCATGACAACATATGTAAATCAGCCCAGAATAATCCTTATTTTGTAAATTACTTAACTTATTTATTCCATTGAAATAAGTAGATCATTTACATACTTGCATGGAATTGTAATCGCGAGCTTATAGCGTTACTAAAGTGGTAATTCGTAGTTGCATAGTTGTAGGTAATATTTTTCCAAAATGTGTAATTGAAATAATAATATTTTTTGACTAATAAATCTGTATTAATGAGAATTATAAAAACTTTGCCCTGACAATAAAAACACAAGTTTTAAAATTGTAAAAATTTTAAAATAGTTATTTTTCATCCAATCAAATCAATTTTCACGTCAATTATAGACACGTGCAACAAACTAGTTTAATATGAGTAAAACAGGGGAAACATAATATGTAATTAGAAAGATAGCACTTGGTAATTTCATTCATCAAATTATGAAAACAATATGATAACCATGCATAAATCGTTTACAGGCAATACATATTTCGCATGCGATAGTAGGTTTTGCGATCTCTCATTGCCCAAGTCGTATGTATTTGTAAAATACAAAGGGTGAACACAGTAATTTTGGACATTTGTAAAAAATTGATGAATGTACATCTTAAATATTACAATATCTGTAAGATATCCAGTGCAGATTGGTATACAGCAAATTTTAAATTGGTAAATAATTAATTGCAGGTTTGATAAAATGGGTTGCCGCGTGTCAGAAAATTGCAATAATTTTGGAATTTAATTTCTGAACAAAATTAGGTAGCTGGATTTTGACCATGAAATCTAAATTTATTGCTTGTTGTTTAGGATATGGGGCCGTTCTTAAATTACGTAACGCTAAAAATTGATTTCCTCGACCCCCCCCCTCCCCCCTTACATAGGCGTACACAGGCACGATATCATTGGGGCCTAAATCCCATCCCCCCTTCAAGCGTTACGTAATTTAAGAACAGCCCCTATCCTGCAAAAAATTCTTGCTGTCCAGAAAATTTAATAAGTAATTAAGTTTAAGTAAATTACTTGAAGTAAATATATTAAAATTTATTTTATGCATACATTGATGATTAACAATTTACTTATTTATAATAGATTTAATATATATTCTGTAGTATTTTACTGGATATTGCACATTCTGGGCTATTTTAACATTTTGTTAATAATTTTATACACCGACAAGCGCGAAACCCCATTGTGCCCCAATATTGGTTGCGCACCCTCTGTATTTCTCCAAGCCCGGGTACACATACTCACTTTCTTCTTTTAAACATCTGACACCACACTACAAAATTGTAAAAGGAAGTAAAAACATAAAATTAACTTCCTATCGCTAAATATCAAGCAAATTTAATTTATAATCTGGTCTTTCGTGTGACGAGAGGGTGTGGGTGCGCCTACTCACCCTCCAAGTAAGATTTTTTTGTATTTTAATCGTACAAATTTAGTATTTCAGAATTTTAAATATTAATTATAAATTTCCGGATGGAAAAATTGACAGGAATGTTTTTTTCATTTTTGTATATTAATTACAGAACACTACCTTGCATTGTCTTTGACAAGGTTGTGGGTGTACCGACCCGCTGCGTAAGATTTTTGGATTTTATTCCTCAAATTTAATATTTCAGAATTTTAAATACAAGTTAAAAATATTTGCACCAGCTAAAATTGAAAATACTGTTTTTCTTTCATTTAATTACAGAAGATTAACATGATTCCCACGTGCTCCACGTGTCTCGCGCCTTTCGACGGCACGGTCCCCCCACCCGTCAAAGAAATACGGTCCACCATTGACGATGATAACTTTCCCTTCTGCATCCTGCCCGATTATGACGATAACAATCAACGGGACTCGTCTTCTTCTCGCCAAATTTCAATCTGCGCCGCCTTATCGACCCTTTTCGACCCAATTTCGCCCTCGTCATCCCCACTTTTTCGAAATAGAAAGGGAATTATCATGTGTTCCTCTTGTGCGGAAAGTTTAACCCTGGTTTACAACAATTATAAAGAATTTATCGCCCTAATCCACCCAGAGTCGGAGGTCGGGAAGAAATTGGGACGTCTTGAAGGTCAAAAGGTGACGTCTTCGCCAGTATTAGATAAGAAGTCTGAATTAGGAGAAAAGTCAGGGCCGCTGATAAGCTCGGACGCCAAGAGGGGACGTGGTCGTCCGCGAAAAAGTCAAGTTTCGGGGGAGGTTGGACCTGGTAAGGCTCCAACAAGTTGTTTAATTACTGAAATTAGAGTAATTAGAATTAAAATAGTGAAATTTAATAAAATAATTCTTACTGTTTTCAGATATTAAACTCCCCAGTGATAACCTGCCTTCGGTGGAGGTCCCAGCAACTCAAAAGAGGGGACGTGGTCGCCCACCGAAATTTCCACAAAGTTTAAAAAGTCAGATTAAGGAATCGCCACGTAAGATTATTATGATCTGATTATATGCAATTCATGGAGGCTTTTGTAACATTGTAAAATCCATAAATTCTGCAAACTTAGAAACCTTTACAAAAATCTTCTAAAGAAAATTAGCTTACAATTTTTTGTAGAAATTTACGTACGACTTAAGATCAAGGGCTTCTTTTTATTTTGTAAAAGTTCGTATAAATATTTTACAAATTTTACAAAGTTGCCAATTATTGGGCGTGAATTGCATCAGGAAATGAAAATACATGACTTGTCTCTGCAATACGATTAATAATTAATTGTTACTTATTTACAACTTTTAGTCCCGTCCTCGCTCTCTGCTAGAAAGAAGAAACCACGGCTTGAAGAGCCCGACCTAATCGATGAGCTTATCTTCGACCCCCAATCCGTTTGTGTGAAAGACGAGCCAATGTCGGACTTGGACTTGGACTTCATGGACGGAAGCGACGTAATGGAAGGGTGCTTTGAAAACGTGTCCATTTCTGAACACGGCCACGACGATGACGAGGACGACGAAATGGATTGCAAAAGCAAGTCACTTAAAAATAACGGTCCCCTTAAAACGGGAACATTATTTTTTACTTTTCAAAATTTACTTTTCAAAATTGAAAAGTAAATTCACTCTGAATTTTGAATTAAGATGAAGAGTAAAGCTTACCCTGGATTTAGTATAAATAGTTAACTTGATTTCAATTTCGGAGTGAATTTACTTTTCAAAAATGATTTTTAAGAGTGTATTTTATAATTTATTTTTTAATTAACCTCAGAAATTGAAAAATTAATTTTGTCAAATTTCTTCCTTAGAGGTCACCCCCCTTGTTCCACTACCCACTACGCGACGATCTTCTACTCGGAATACGAAATCCTACGTGAAGGAAGACAATCACAAATTTGAACCAGATTTCGAAAAACTGGAAAATTCCAACGACAACATTTTTGAAGATGAAGAATCGTCCTCATCATCGGAGGACTCGTCCGATGAAGATTTTACACTGCCAGCCAATAAAATAGTCGACTTAAAGAAGGATGAGAATTCACCCTCAGATGATTCATCGGATTCTGACGACGAGGATCAAGGTTTACAAAATTATAATTAAGACAATTCACGTAGTCCTTGGTGTAGTTTTGTAAAATCTATAGACTTGCAAATATTTTTAAGGGCAATTAGCTTATCAATTTTGTCAAATTTAGTAAATTTGCAAAAATTTACTCTAAGTTTATTTTACTCGGAGATGAAGGGAAATGGGTCTTTAAAAAAAAGAAATATGTACAACAATCTTACAAAATTAAAGGGTTTTACAAAGTTACAAGGGACTGCGTGAATTGCGTCATTGCGTTTTGCATTACGAGTTCGCAACGTAAGTAAATATGTAACACGGTTTTTGACAGTTATTCGCATGCATATGTAAATTGTAAATATTTGCTAAAAGTTTGCAAATTTTTTTTATGTCAATCTTATGCTGCAAATTTTCCTTTGTTCCGTACTTCTCGATGCGAACTCGTCTAGAATATCCTTAATATTCCCAAATAATTTTAAACTTTTAACCCCTAATTTTCCCCCTTTTTCAGACTACACCCCCTCCCAAACCACCAACCCTAGAGCCGCCCCTCCAATCATCTCCGGGGGCACCTTCACCTGCCCCACCTGCTCGGCCACCTTCGCCCACCTGAAATCCTACCGTCGCCATTACCTCTCCACCCACGCCAAGGTTTCCTACTCCTGCCCCAAGTGCGATAAGCGCTTCACCCGCGAAGACCACGTGCTCACGCATCGCCGCGGCGTGCACGGCGAAACAGTCGCCTCCATCAGTGCTGCACGACGACGCGAAAAACGTTCCAAACCGCGCTACCCGTGCCCCGCCTGCCCCTCAAAATTCCACTCTGCCCCGCTTCTCGACGCCCACCTGTCCTCCTCCCATGGGGACGATCCAACCCCGTGGAAATGTTCCAGGGAAAATTGTACCCTCACCTTTTCGACACGACCAGAACTCTCCGCGCACACGAGGTCATCCCATCGCGCCCTGGAACGGGCGACCTGTTCCGTTTGTGGGATCCAGGTCAGGGACAAATACAAGCTGAAGAAACATCAAGTTAGAATCCATCACGTGCGGGTGCTTGGCAAGGATTTCGAGGCGTCCAAAAAATGGGGGTGTGACCAGTGTGGGAAACGCTACCAGAAAGAGTACGCTCTAATCGAGCACAAAATCTCCCACGGGATCGGAGCCCCGCACAAGTGTGCCGTTTGCGGGGGGATTTTCAAGCATAAAAAGAGTCTCGAGCGGCACGAGCGGATTCATGAGGGGAGGTTTGATTTTCCTTGTGGGGAGGAAGGGTGTGATAAGAGCTTTATGCGGAATGATAAGAGGAGGAATCATTGGAGGAGGGTGCATAATAAGGGGGAAGGGGTGGGAGTGGGGGGAGAGGGAAGAGAGGGGGTGAGGGGAGAGGGTGAGGGGGTGAAAAGGGTAGTTGTGAAGAAGGAGAAGGTTAAGAAGCACAAGAATGGGGAGGAGATTGCATGCGCGGAATGTGGGAAGATGGTGAGGAAGTATAATATGAAATTGCATATGGTTACGCATACGGGCGAGGTGAGGACAATTTTTTGAATTATCTTTTTAAAAAAAATGACTGAATTTTGAAAATGACTGAAAAAAAATTTTGTTTAAAAAATTTTTGTGACAAGAAAATTTTTCTTAATATTTTTTTTTAAGTCGTAATTTATTTCCAGAAGACAAGTGTTTTGAGACATTTCTGAAATATCTATTCCCCATAAATCTTTGTGGCAATTCACGCTGTTGGCTGTTCTCGATAACTTTATAGAATTCATAAAGTTACAAACTTTTACAAATATATATTTGTAAGGAAAATTAGCAGCTTACATCTTTTTGAAATTTTACTCAGATTAAGAGCGTCTTTTTATTTTGTAACAGACTATTTTACAAAATTTACAAATTTTGCAACGTTACAAAGGACTGAGTGAATTGCGTCTTTGCATATTTTTATCTAAGAAAACCGTACAAATGTTTCTCATTTGTAAATTCCCCACGAGCCATACCATATTTTTAACTCTTTCAAAACCTTTCTACAATTTTTTTGTCATAGTCATAAATCTTTTCTACATTTTGAAGTCCTCTAATAACCTGAATATTTTTTTTACCCCCCAGAAAACCAAACTCTGCTACATCTGCGGGCGCAGTTTCAGTTGTCAATCCGGCCTAAACACCCACATCAAGTACACCCACCAGGAAAAGGAGCCGCTCCAATGCACCATTTGCGGCGTCCTGTGCAAACGTCCCAAAGACATGAGGGCCCACTACGCCCTGCACGACTTGGGCGAGGAACGACCCTACGTTTGCCAAGTGCCCGGATGTGGGAAAGGATTTAGGTCCGAGAAAACCCTCAAGTCTCACAACATCGTCCACACCCCGGAAAAAGGGTTCCACTGCACGTACCCAAATTGTGGCAAGTCTTTCAACCGGGTCGACAACATGCGCGCGCACGTGGCCGGGGTGCACGAGGGGAAACAGGTCAGAAAGAAGAGACCCCCACCACCACGCCCACCGCGACAAGGGCATGGCGACAACTCGGCGACGACGACAAGACCCAGATTTAAAATTAATAAGACAAGGAAAAGGCGAAGGAGAGAGCCTTCAGAGTCGTCTAGTTCGATAGATTATGAGCAAGATGAGTACATTTTACCGACACAAATTCATGCAAATTCGCGAGGAATTAATTCAAATGATCCTTTGAATCCGAATGCAAGTATTTTTCCTCCACCACATTTATTAGCACAGTTTTCTTCTAATCCTACTTCTTCTTACTATTGAAGATGAAAACTATTTTTGTACGGTGTGGATAATGTCCAAATCCGATTAGTGAGTTACTACTATTAGTAAATAATTGTTTGTTAATCGGCCAATTTTTGAATATTATTTATATTTAAAGTTCATGCAAATTTTTGGTTTAAATATGTATGTGAATATGTATGCAATCGTATGTAGACTGATTTTACAATAAATAATAATTAATTTCAATAATTTCAAATGTACGTATTTTTACACTTTTTAGTAATTATAACCTTTGCAGAAAAAAACTTGAAAGTTCAAAGTTTTCTTAATTGGGAAACCTATTTAAATATATAAAATACATGCATACGACGGATATGAATGAAAAATGACTTTTTCCATCTGTTAACCTACAGACTCCAAACTTGCTGAGAATATTTATGGTCACTAGTAGGTCACGTAGTTCAAAGCATATTTTCTCATATTTGTCATATTTTCGGGTTTTGGGACATATTCATATATCATATTCCCGATCATATTTCGGGCTTTTTTCGTTCATTTTATGATTTTTGGTCAAATTCTAATATTTGGCAACCAAATCGACAGAAAATTGCAAAATATTCAGTTTTCTCACAATTATTCATTGTGAAGCTTTCAGAAATTTGCTTTCACTTTCGCTTAAGGTGATTCAATTCATTGGGAATGAATTAAATTAAATCAGAACTTGTTTTATTGATAAAACTTGAGTATCACAAGAAAATATGTCGAACAATTAAGCCAAAAATTAAAAAAAAATAAAGTCATTTTTATGGTCATATTTTGGGGAATTTTACGGTCATTTTTCATTCATATTTTGAGGTTTTATCGGTCATTCATATCCGACGTCTGTACATCAGTAACGAGTCCAATTTAGGAGCAGTGCAAAACCTCATGATCAGTTTGAGCCAATCTTATTTTATAGATACTTTTATGTATTATTTACAGGAAAGTGAAGGAATTTCCTCATTGCATGTTGCTAACAATGCTAATAAATACGCATAATTAGGGTTCTCAATGGGCTTCGGGTTGGCCCGGACCGGACCGAAATCCGACGGTTCCCGGATTGGGCCATCCGCCAATCCGGACCGAAAGTTTCGGTCCGGTCCTCGGTCCGGTTTCGGATCAGCTTTTCAAGGACCGGACCGGACCGCCGGTTTTCGGTCCGCCCGAATATTTTGGCGCGCAAGAAAATTTGAATACTTTGACCTTGAATTTTTGAATTTCTTCAGCCAAACTCATGAATTTTCAGTGTATTCAAATTCGATGTTACATAGATTTCAAAAGTTCTCCACATGATCCATAAAAATTACGTTTTTTAGGTTTTAAAGTTTTTACGCTCCTTGATTTTAGGAGGATTTTTTAAACTCCTACTCTTGCTAATGGATTTTTAAAATTAAAAAAAGGAAATTGCAAATTGGTCCTGAGATTATGTGTATAAACACACTGACCTATAGAACTTACGAGACCTCATCCGCTACATGTATCTATTTAAATCTGACACATTTGGCATTCTGGTTATATATGCATGTCCCATACATGTCTAATGCATAGTTAGATAAGACATTTATGTATAATACAATACGTGTATAAATCTCTATGCACTATTTATACATATCGTCGTACTATTTCTACAAAGGCCTAAGTGCAGTTAATACTTTATTTTACGAAGGCCTATGTGCAAGCAATCCTCAATTTTACAAAGGCCTATGTGCACAATAAAAACTATATATAAAAAAGGCCTAACTGCAATTCCAAAATTATGAATAGTTAGTTAATCATGTTAAATCATACTGGACACTGAAGTACGAATATTTTGGTCAGATAAGGCTATTCCTGATATAATTTCAAAACCACACCCTGCAGGGGTGTGGTACTTGGGGCCTAAATTATGTTAACAAAATTCTGGCATGTAATATTTCATTTTCTTCAGCCCAATACGGCAATCTCAAAGGATTATTATAAATTTAGAAACCGACGCCGATAACCACACCCCCTGAGGATGTGGTTTTTAAATTTATAATAATCCTTTGAGATTGCCTTATTGGGCTGAAGAAAATGAAATATTACATGCCAGAATTTTGTTAACATAATTTAGGCCCCAAGTACCACACCCCTGCAGGGTTTGGTTTTGAAATTATATCAGGAATAGCCTTATCTGACCAAAATATTCGTACTTCAGTGTCCAGCATGATTTAACATGATTAACTAACTATTCATAATTTTGGAATTACAGTTAGGCCTTTTTATAGTTTTTATTGTGCACATAGACCTGTGTAAAATTAAATATTGACTGCACAAAGGCCTTTGTAAAATTGAGGATTGCTTGCACATAGGCCTTTGTAGAAATAGTACGACGATATGCACTATATGTGGTAATTATTATACTGTACTATGGGTCTTTATACTATAATGATATATTTTTCGGTCCGCCGGGATTGACCGGTCCGGTCCTGGGCCGGGCGGAAATTTTTCGGTCCGGATTCGGATTGGTGGTTTCGGGCCACGGTCCGGGTTCGGATCAGGGCTGATCCGGACCAATCCGGACCATTGAGAACTCTACGCATAATATTTACTTATTTTTGTCTGTTTCCGTGTTAAATGAGACTTTCGTCGCGCGAAATTTAAAATCCATAACAAACCTGGGTCGGCGTTCAGCATCCATATTTCACATTTTAAAAAATCTCCTAGTGAATCAAATACATAATTCGAAATATGACAACCGTTCGAGTAAACGGAGTTGGGGACGAAATTAGTGGTGAGGTCCAAGTCGTTAACGCCACAGCGGAACAGATCGTGCTCTCTAATTCTCTGGTAAAAAATATTAATTAAATTAGCATTCATCATTAAATAAGTAAAAAAAACACTTTAAACATTATATTTATATGTTTTCAAGCTTGTCCAGCAAATTCTGAATAATCTCACGGTCTCCGATTTGAAGAAGTGTGCCAGCACAAACTTTACTTTTTCCTCGGAAGTAATGAAACTACTTGACCGGAAGTCGATAGTCAGCTTGGAATCTAGTACGAGCTACCAGTCCTACTTCGACTCGTTGAAAAAGGGAGGACGAATCCCGAACATGGTGAAAATGACGATCGGGACTCGTAGAGAGAAAGGTGCCGTTCGTTCCTCCCCAAAACCCTTTCGTAACATCCCTTTCGAAATAATCCGGAGAATTGGTGCGGACAAGGTTCGATTTCTGAAGATCCACGTAGAAATTACAAAATAAGAATTTACATTTTCATATATTTATGTAAATGGACACTCTTAAAAATGATGTCATTTTGAAAAGCAAATTCGCTCTTTCTAAATTAAGGAAATCCAGAGTAAACTATGTTCTTTATCAAGTAACGTCCTCTGGATGTTGTATTTATATTTTGATTTTATATTTTGAACATAATTTAGAGTTCATTTTCTGTTCAAAAAGGGTATCATTATTTTTGAGAGTGTAAATCAGAATTTATGTACAAGTTTAATTAGACTTATTTAAATTGTTTAAAAATATTCCTCAGCACTTTCCTCACAAAATTGCGGAAACTTTTATCCCTCACCGTCAATTTGGAAGAATTGGAGCTCTACTTCAAAAACCGGTACGGTTCGGACTTCGTCACCGCCCTGCCGTTCGAAGACACATTCCAACTCCCCCACTTGAAGAAGCTTGGCCTCCTCGTGGATGAGATAGACACTGAGGGACCAGAAAGAATCCGAACATTTTTAAGACGGTTCTTTTCAATTTCTCAAAATTTCGAAAGTTTCCATGCAACTGGTTCAAACAACGGAATGCAGGTTCTCGTCGCCACATTATTTTTCGAAGAGATTGCAAAAATTCCTGGACGGATGGAGAAGATAACTGAGCTGAATTTAAGACCTGCATCTTTCCTCAACCGCCGCTACCAATTTCTCAGCCTGAAACACAAGGATTTTGTGGCGCTACACGTGCTCACGTTGAGCGTGACGAGCTGGAATATAGAAGAAGCGGAAGAAATCCTGCACAAATTTCGGAAACGCTTGACCAAGCTGGTAATCCATTTGGAAGAAGTCTTAGATGAGGAGGATGACTACAAGGTGAAAATCCCAGTCATGGAAAATTTGGAGGAGTTGGGTGCGTTTACATATTTAAAAAAAATATATTCACATTTTGTACGAGTTGATGATTCGTCGCCAAAATCGGCACATTTTTAATCATTTCATTTTAATCTCCGGTCTGGGAATTTATTTTAAAATTCTGGACGACAAATTTGTGGTCAGCAAATCTTTTTTAAACCAGTTTCGATGAGTTCCAATTTTTCTGGGGGCTTGACTTCTCGTCCTTCAAAATCTTAGTGTATAATTTTCTAAAATTCGTAACGATCTATTCCAGAATTGTAAAATAAATTTCCAAAACCGAGAAATGGAATATGTTAATGGTGCGATTGTTAATTTACGTATATGCTAATCCCATTTTTATTTGTGTAGTCCTACGCAAAAAGATGGGGATTAGTGAGAAAGCCGTCGGCGTGTTTGTCACACCTTCTTCCGGAGTTTTCGCGAAATTGTGGCGCCTCGAGATAAGCGTGTCCGTGATGAGGGAAACGTTTCTGGATAACCACAGACAAATTCACGTCATAGACAAAGTTACGGCATTGACGCACATTTATTTCGATGAAAGGGAGGAGGAGCTGGATGATGAAATGGTGGAGCAAATGATGGATTTTTTTCCCAGACGTGGAAAAACTGTTTGCCAAAATTTTTGACTAATTATAATGTGCAAAATTACTTCAGAATTTAGTTTTGTTTTGTGGGTTAAACGAAGGGACGAAGAGAATCTGCTAATTAATTAATTTGTTTTGTCTCCCTATTGAAATTTAATTTGTTACTTTACTAATTTATGTCTAAAAATTAGTGAAAATTCATTAATCATTAGAAACTCTTGGAATATTTATTTGCTTGTTTTCTTGTCACGCGAAAAATATATGTAACTTTTTTATAGCAAGAATCAATTAATAAAACGTTATACATATATTTATATCCATAAACTTGAATTTGTCACAAAAAGCAAAATTATCTAATTAAAATTAAAATATTAATTAAAATATATTATAATTTATTTTATAATTTTATAATAATAGTTATGAGGTTACGATGACACGCTTGAAATACTCCTGAATTCCGGCCCAGACCTCTGCAAAATTTAAAATACGTGCGGCAAAACTTTTAGCGTGTTATGGTAAACATTTAAAATATCCACCCACCTTGAGCATTTGGGACGATTTGGGCGGGTGGGAGGATAAAAGAGTCGCCTCGCATTTCCACCGTAGCGGTGTACTTGATCCCGTGATTCTTCATGAAATCGTCACTAGCCCCTCCTACGCCATCTACATATTTGCACACAATTAAATTTGCATAAAAGTTATCAATGCATAAATTCTGACAAGAATTATGTTTTACATAAAAGATCAGCTCCTTGACCAGTATGGTAACGTGTCCCGTGAATGGATTGTACCGCTGCAATGGCGGCTTGGCCTAAGCTCAGCTAAAGAAATTAAAAATAACACAATATGCAAATAGGTACAGGTCCAAGTGTATCCTTGGGTGAAAAATTTCTACGGTAAATGCTAAAAATTTGCCAATCGGTGTACAACAAAGTTATCAATCCAGCGGTCTATATACCTGATCGGCATAGTCGTCCGGGTAGACGCCTTGCGTGTAGCCCCAAGGTAACAGCCAGACCTACATTTAGCAATAAAATAGTTGCATGTGCTGTGTTAAGATTTTAAAGCAAGTGGCGGGAGAGGTTGGGGACAATATCCTTTCGGGAAAATATGCAAAATAGTAATTCTCTGAATTTCAGGTGGTGGCTGGATCTCAGGCTGAATTTCAGGGGGTGGCAATGTCCCCATGGTCCTCCGCTTCCGGCGAAAATATTGAGGTTACAAATATTTGCGAATTCTCACTTACCTTCCCGTAAGCGTGGAGGGTTAAATAAGCCAAAAAACTGGCCCCTTCCTTTTCAAGGGTCGTAACGAATTCTACCAAGGCTGCCACTTCAGGCTCCGAGAAGGGCGCAACTCCACGGTAGATGTCGCTGCATGGGTCGGATGAAGTGGATTCTCCATCTGTACATAAATACAAGAACAAACAATATTTCATAATAATTTCATAATTACTAGAGATGAGTCAGGTCAGTGATTTCTAAAACCCGACCCGAGTAATTTCTGAACCCGAGCGGTTCGGATTTAGACCCGCAACCCGGTTCAGGTCTTATTGGTAAGTCGGGTCAAACATTTTGAAAACCCGGGCAGGCTGGGTTTAATTGGGTTGGCCCGTTAACCCGACTCAGCTCTTACAATTCCGTACTTTACTTCACTGTTATGCAAATTAAAATTTGTTTTGCGACAAAAAAATACTAATTTAAGCAGCAGCTGTAAGACTTTTAAAATAATGTAAATTTCTTATCTTACCCCAGTGAAACCCAAAATTCCTGTTAGGATCACACCCCACACATTTAGACCCTGACTGCACACTGCGCGTCTTTCTCCACAACCTCGCTTGAATTCCGCCACTGTGCGTGTGCACATATCCGTCCGGATTCATGATTGGGACAATGTGGATATCGATTTCTTTAAGTATGTCCAAATATACTGTTGTATTCACGGCTAGTTCGTTTATGATCCAGGTCGCCGTGGCGCCCGCGATCCATTCTCGGGCATGAATGTTAGCGTCGATTAGGACGGATTTCTTGGGAGGTCCGCCCGTCGAGAAGGTCACGGCGTAGATGGGACGATGTTGTGAGGAGTAACCAATGATTGATACCGTGCTGTACGACGTGTTGAGAGATTTGAGCCAGGCTGAAATCTGAGGGAGGATTATGATTTTTGAAAATTACTTGGTTAGAAATTTTCAGAAATTTTCAACATTCTTAGAAATCCAGGAGTAAAATAATAATACCGAGCGGTATTCATGTATTTATGAGTCTGTCGATTAGCAAAACGGTGGAGTAATTGGTCGGTCCGTATTACCACATCTGGAGCAAATCTTTACGGACCGGAATAATTTTAATACCAAGCGGTAGCAACTTTAATACCTGCTTGACTACACCAGATTTGTGACAGGGCATATTAATATGTATGTACATACGAGGGCAGGCCATTTACTCGTTATTTTTTTAGCGAAATTATAACTCCACTAATACAAAATTGCTAGCAAATTTAATTCCCATCCGCATAATTTACCAGGACAAATTACTGACCTCGTGAAATGTTGCATATCTGTCCCAGGAAATGCGTCCGAGCCGAGTTGAACGTGTCACCTCATTTTGGCGTTGCTCCTCTCGAATTAGGCTAATTCACATGGGAAAATAAATTTCAAAATGGTTCAGAAAATTACTTCTGAAAGGAGAGCTTACAAATTTTTTACTTCAAGATAAAATTTATGAAAATACCTTCTAACGTCGCTAAACTTGACGGAATAATTGAGTCCGTGACTTTGTAGAAAGTCCGTTAAATCATAAACTTGTCCAGCTCTCGCCATGATATCGACATGTGATCCCCCACGCAACGGAGCAGTCCAAAAGTCATACTCGCCATTAAGGTAGAGCTGGTAAATGAGCTTGGTTTCCTCGGTGGTTGATGTTTGAACAGTGAAGACTTGGTCCGTTCTGTTTGACATGATATTTACATATGTAAATTAAAATAAATATTTTTATTACGCATCCAAAAATCCAATGCCGGAGAATTTTGAAAAACCGGTCAATGATTTTTCCGGTTGTTGAAATTTTCATTAAACCGATTTGAAGATAAAACCTGGTTTTAGCACGTTTTGGAAATTGGATTTACATCAAATTTTCAAACTTTCGTAAAGTTCGAAAAGAATTGAAATCCGCGAAATTAATATTGTATTTTTTTTTGGTAAACTAGTTTTGACTTAATTCGCATTGATGGGACAAAATTAATAATTATCCAAAATGGTGAACTGATTTGTCCCCAAATTATTTAGAGTGTGGGGTTCTTAATCAAACTGTATATTTACTTAAAAATTAAAAAACTGTGTAGTTTAGTTACCCGTTAATACGAGGTGACCCAGTGTCCCCTGGTTGAAATAAAATTCCCAATGATATCAGAACGTAGAACGCATTCATTTTTAAAATCAAAGGATGCATTTCGCTCAAAATTTGTTCCAAGAATGCCACAAAAAGTCAGGAAAAAGGGGACACATATTTAGATAAGGAAAAAGCACTTTATAATGTTCTAAATTTGGAACGACCCTGTAAAAACGATGTGAATAGATAAACATGCAGGAAGGGTGTACATTCTAACAATGGAGGTCTCCCAACGTATGCTCACAGATTTTGACCAAACTAGCGTCAATCGATCACAAATATAATAGGTATCAAATTTTCAAATTTTCAAAATTTTCAAAAATTTTCATCTGCCAATGCTCAAGTTTAGCGGAGATATTTGCATAAAAAGAGGAGAAAAAATAACCCGAAGGCCGCCAGATTTCTCATTTTCCAAATTTGCTGTACATTTTTCCCTATTTAGATGCAAATATCTCCGCCAAACCTGCACATTGGCAGATAGTTCCATTTGCAAATTTCATACGAATTGTATTTGTGATCGATTGACGCTAGTTTGGTCAAAATCTGTGAGCATACGTTGGGAGACCTCCATTGTAAGTGTAGTTACAACTAATGCTCCTTAATCCTCCCTCCGCCAAGTTTTATTGATTTATTTTTTTATGATTTTGTGCCCTTCAGGTTGTGATATTTACCTTTAAGCTAAAATGCTGGAGGGTAGCCAATATTAAGAGGTCGATTATTCCTAGATATTTAAATAGAAAGGGTCCTTTAACCATTAGCCCTTAACCATACTGTTAAAAATGCGGTGAGGTTTGAGGTCCCATATATGTACACACCTTGATGGTTTGATTTGGTAATAACTTCCCCTCGGGCGGGTAATAGTTTGATTCTGAGTGGTGAGACTTCATAACCACAATAACGGTGTATTTTTTCACTCTTCGGTAATGCCCGTTATCACCTCCCCGGTTAAGTCATATATACACTCCGGTCACCGGTTGGTGATGATTCAATACAATTCAATTGTTCTAATTATCTTTTCAAATAGGTATGTATGAAAGTTTCTTTTTTCATGTTTTTGCCAAACTTTTTCACGTGAAAAATCTGCTTGAGTACTATTAGGCTTAACCTGTTAAAGGAAATGTGTCTCTTGACTCGGGCTTTACGTTGCGGCACAGGATGTTTAGCCCTTTGTATCAAGATATAGAGTAGTCATGTTAGCCCACATAAAACGGACGGTGGTTTCAATGGCAATATATTTTGATGGCAAAAATTAGTAAATTTCTATTACATAGTTACTAAGATTTTGTCGCTGAAATTTAAGAATTTTGTCACCAGCTTTGATTATAATTAATGAAAATCTCAATCAATAATCTTGTAACTAACGGAGATTTATATCATTTATATCACCCTTTATATATTTATTATTTAGATTAAAATTTTAACCAAAAATAATCGTTGAAAAATGGCTTAATTATACTGATAAATTTAACTCTTGGCAATTGGCAAAGTCAATTATTAAAATGGGAACATAACTAAAATGGGAACGTTGAATGAACTCGAATGTATGCAATTCCATTGCGCTCCCATTTCTAGATTTTTGGATAGTATCCACATTTGAAAATTGAGTTTCTTGGTAATAACATACCTCATGAACCATATACGTAGATACATATGTAGTTTGCCTTATAATTTTCGGGGAAACTAATGGCTGAGGTTCATATGTATGTATTTAGTCAACAATTTTTATGATGCTTCATACATATTTAAATACCCACTTTTATTAATTTATATGTTCAGGTTTCAGGTATCAAAAACGATTTTAAGTCCACAATAAAATTAAATGACCAAAAGTTAATAGGCCCATAAATTCTAGACTCTTAAAAATATGGTATGTTTTTATATAGTCAGGCAGGTATTGATTTCTATATATTTAGGTATTAAACTTGCTATCGCCCAATATTAAAATTATGTATACCGGGCTGTAAAAGTTTGTGATAAATATGGTAACACTTTAATATCGAGCTCCTTCTATACAAGATTAGTTATACATACATAAATACCACGTTTGTAGAGTGATATAGAAAACACTGCCTGCTATTATTTTAATCCTGGATTTCTAAGAGTGTATCAATTTTGGAATAACAGCTACAATGGGTTGCCTGCCGGATATACCTTTAACTTCACACACCAACTCAACTCTACAACCTCCTGTTCGTTAAACAACGCCAAAAACCCTACTCAAATACGAAATTCTGTTTTGTTTTTAAAAATATCTCCACTTCACTTTCAAAAATTCTAGAACTTATTTATTTATTTACTTACGTACCTGGACTTAAAATGCACTCTAAAAGATATTACCAGCTGATATACATGACTTGTAAAGTTTGCGCATTTTTTGGCACTACGGGCATGATATTTAATCGAAAAACAAACTTGTACCAGATGGACGAAAAAGCCCGAAAAAAGCAATTAAGGTCTTGCATAGGGGTCGCCTCGTATTTCGTCTTCTTCATTTTTGGCACTTACAGAATCTACGATGGTAAAAATACCACCCAAGAATTCAATCTGTGCTACTCTTTCGTCTTTATTGGGGCCGTGATTATTGGACCGTTGTGCAACACTTATTGGAAACAGGGCGACATAGTTACGACACTTAATCAGTGTTTAATTTATGCGGAAAGATTTAGAGGTATGTCTAATTGCGATTATGAATTATTTCGATTAATTATTGCTAATTGCAAGTTTTGTTCGGGGCTGTTAAGTTTTCATATTTGAATTGTAACATAATTTTGAAAACAAAAATGCAAACTTAATACTGGCCTCGCCCTCGTATATACATAGTTGACCATAAAGTTTCAACCAAAATTTTTCTTGCTTGTCAACTTGCCAACTTAGGATTAACTCATTTTTTTGTAACGATGCAAACTCGTAATAAATAACAGCAATCTTTTCAGGGCCGACAAGTTTTGTTTTAATTTTTGTCGAATTTGAAACACTGTAAGAAGTTAATAAGAACGTATGTCAGTTATAGCTAGAAAAAATTAGTACGATTTTTGTTAATGAATATGTATGGGGAGTTCGCATATTTAGTTAAAAAATAAACACAAGTTGGCAAAAAAATTGACCTGAAAATTTATTTGCGAATTTGAGTATATCCAAGGCTAATACATATTTATGTACATATGTACGTAGCAAATTTTGTTTTTCAAAATTCTTTAACGGCTCGAACATGGTTATGAATACCCCCCAAAAATTCCTGAGTAAATCTATGTAAATTTGAGCTAACTATTCATATAAATTTTAGAAAACTGGATGCCCACCTACATTCCAGGAAAAGCCAAATTGTCCCGGTTAATGGACTCCATCCTATTTTTGGGTCTACTGAACAATTGTTGTCACCCATTTAGCACGGTCGTGTTCTTCATTTTCAATTCGAAGCTACCCATCTACTTTCACAACCTGTACCCGGAAGAGGTCGCTAATTTGGGCGGTATTTTCAAATTTCTCGAGTGGCTCATATACTTGCTGGATTTGTTCCTCTTTTCATGGACCGGGTTCACAATTTGGTTCCTTCTGCTCGTTCTGCTTTTTGGATCCACGACATACATTTGTTAGCCTGTTTTCAACAAATTTCAACAAAAAAATCCAATGTGCTGTTTTTTAGGAAAAATAGATGAGTTTAAAAAGTTATTAATCAGGCAGACATTTTAAATGTGGAACAGTAAATTCGCATATGAATGTATGCATACCTGTTCACGTTCATTTAATTACTACGAAATAAAGAATGAATGAATGAATAATTAACTGAGTGAATGAATAATGAATGAATAATCCAACATTTCAAAATGAATGAGTGGGTTTTTTATTCTTTCATTTTTGCCCTATGTTAAATGCATGGGACGAATGAATGAATGAATTATTCATTGAACGAATAGATAATGAATGAATAATTCAAATTGATACTCGAAGTGAATGAATTTTGGATGAAGGAAAAAAATTTGAAGAGGTAGGGATGTACGTATTTATGAGGCTTTTCTTTTTAGTTCCAGTCTTCTTCCTCATCGCGAATGAGTTGAAGGCTTCTTCCCGAATTAAGAAAACGGAACGATTCGCAATTCCCGAGTTGAGACGGGCTGCAAAAAATATTGTCATTGAATTCAACTCTATCCGAATTTTGAATACGGGGATGATGCAAAATCTAGGGCATGCACTTGTCCTGTCCAACGGACTGTTCGGACAGTATTGTCTATTCAGCAATTTCGTCGTGATTAAACAATGGAATGAGATGGAGCCATATGCAAAGGTAGTTATAAATATTATTTGAATGTGATGAATATTCGAACTCGGAATGAATGAATACCGTAATGAACAGCGTATACAACAAAGGTGCGAAACCTCGAAATAAGTTTTGCATATATTTAAAGACGTGTCGTACTGTCCGGTTAATTGAAAGTTTCGTGACCTTTGAGGCCAAAATAGAGGTTACCATTTAGTTCGGGGTTAAATTTCGTATTTGACCCTAGTGTGACCTTTTGACCTTGAAGGAAGTTACCTCATCGCACATCTTCGAACTTGCAGTACTCCTTGAGGTTAAGAGTTTACCTGAAAGTTTCAAGTTTCTATCACATCGTTTAAAAATTATCGGATCATAACGGACATAACGACCTTATAAGGGGCTTACACCCCTTAACAAAGTTGAATAATTAATTGTGACGAATAAAGAAATTTATTTTGTTAATGTAATCAATTATACGATTTTTCGTAAATTTTATGTAGACATACCTCATCTTGCTCTCCATCGTTCTCCAGATTTTATGGGGAACCGTTCTCAAAGTGTCTGGAAGGATTCACGCAAACGTAAATCGTGTCCCCAAATCGTGGAAATATCTCGAATTTGACACACCCGAAGAGAAAAAATATTTGCAGAAGGTTGCGAAATCCTGTCGCAAAATTGGGATTGGCGTCGATGGGCTGTTCATCATCAAGAGGACGTCATCCCTCAAATTCTTTCGAGCCATTGTTAAAGGAACGTTCAGAGCATTGCTGACAATTGGAAGGAAATGAATAGGAGAACGAAAAAAGTAGAAAATTATTCCCTTAAATGTACATATGTAATACAGTTACTTAGTAGTTAACGTATTTACATGTATTTTTATATTTGTGGCTCACGATGAATATGCTATATGAGTAAACTTTACTGTTTTTTATGGCGAAATAGCACTATCATAGATCTTAATTCTCACTCCACACTCGTTCGATGTCTTTAAATGCACATTTTTATAAAGTGGTATCCGTTTGAGATATGTACATGCAACCTTACATGCATGTTTTAATGTAACGTAATTTTTTGGCACGGCGAAAATAATCCACTTTCAAAAATTCCTAATTCAATTGCCATTTCCTCACAATAAATTATAAGTGATGAATGAAATTGTGGCAATATATATGCGTATAAGTGGTTATTTACATATATCTATTTAAAGGTGCTGATTTAATTTGTCCCTATTGTTCTGCGAATATTTGAAAACTTGTAGCTCAAAAAGATGGAAACACCATTTGCATATGTATGAAAATCCTTAGTTTCTACATATTTAATTCCAATTGTAAGTGATTCTCTGGGAATTAACCATAAGTCGAGATAAGTATCTTTCCATATATGATATCGACACTTTTATATTAGCCTTATCATCAAACTCTGTTATCCATACATATGTACGGTCCGGACCACAGGACACATAAGTGCATCCACTGCCAGTCAATATTTTAGTCCAAGTTTGCCATCGACCCCAACCAGACGTCAATTTACGCTTTGTCAGTCCCATGTCTACCAAAATTTTAACTTTTCTCTATTTTACAATCTCCGTTCTCTTGCCTGCTTCAGGATTCGACTACGGAGACCGGTGCATGCCAAACGATCCGCTTCATGTTTGCAACCAAGACTATTTTCTAGAATGTATCGACTACTCTTGTAGCTGTAATTCGAGCATGTTATGGGACCTCAAAGCCTCAAAGTGTGCCCTTAAGTTGGGACAAAGCTGTGACCTTCAATCAGGTCCGTCCTGCTATGGAACTGCGGCCTGCCAACTGGGTAGGATTATGAATTATTAGGAAAAATCCACTCTAAAAAATAATGGTGCTTCTTTGCTCTGAATTCAAAATTTTATTAAATCCTAAATAACGTTAAATTCCCTCTATGTAAACAAAAATGAGTAAAATTTACTCCAAGTTGAGTAAGAAAGAGGATGGTGCAACCCAACGGTATAACTTATCTAACAATTTGCAAAATCTATCCATTCGTTCAACAAATGTTGCACACCGGTTGGATAATTTTTACCTTTTGGTTCCTGTCATCCTCTTTTTTCTTTTTTACTCAACCTTGAGTAAATTTTACTCATTTTTTTTAGTGTGACGGTAAAGAGTATGCAAAGTTTACTCTGGATTTAGTATAATTTAGAATTTTACTTTTCAAAATGGCAACAATATTTTTAAGTGTGTCTTTAGATAAGTATTAATTTTCCAAGAATATTTTCTCATGGTCAGATGGTGCCAACACCCACGTCTGCACGTGCCCAGCACCAGACTATCCGTCTCAAAATGGCGACTACTGCATCCATCTGGCCACCAGTATGGACGCAGACTGTAGAAATTTGGGGGTAACTTGCGACGCGGAACAACGCTTAGAATGTGGCGGGACAAAATGTCATTGCATGGCGGGATGGCAGGATGATACTCGAACCAAATGTTATCCCGACATTAATACCACGTGCGTTCCGGGTAGTGAACTTCCGCATGAGAGCTGTTTGGCGTCCCAAGGTCTGCAATGTCACGGGGAAAGGAATCAATGCGAATGTGAACGTCCCGACGACCAAAATTGGGGGGAAATCGGGTACACGAAACGATTCCGGTGTCAAGACAAGGTTGGGGCAAGGTGCGACACTAATGTGGTAAACAGCTGTGTAAATATGGCCATTTGCAACAGAACGGACGGCGGTAAGGTCATATTTTTATGTCAAAATTCATGAAAAATAGGCGCGAGTGTGTCTCTTAATTCCCTCTATCCAACCCTGTTCACATTCATTCATTCAATAGAGAATTAATAAATTATTCATTCATTATCTACTAAATTTGGGAATAATGGGTAAATAATTTATTGAAAATTTGTTAATGAGTATGTACATGTTCAATAAATATATTTAATCATTTCAAATTCATCAATAATGAATGAATAATTTTATTCATTATTAATTTTCCACGGTATACTCAATATATGGGGAATCTTGAAAAATCAATCTAATAAGGCTAATTTGAGATAAAATGAAAACCGAATAAAATTTACTTTAAAATTTTGAATAGATTAATAGTTGAGTAAGTAATTTTTTCTAAAAAGTGAATGAATATTTTTGGACATAAATATTTATACCCAAATTTTTATGAAATTATAATTATCAGATGTTTGTTCCTGCCTCCCGCCGGGTTGGATTGCATCGCCCGACCGATTAACCTGCATTCCTCCGGTTGTACGCGAATTCGGGGAAAAATGTACCGTAACCAACGACTATTTGTATCATGATTGCAACCCAGACAAAAAATTAAATTGCCAATGCAAACCTAATTTGGTAAATTGCACGTGTGGCTGCGGTTATGGCACAATTTCCAACAGTGCCGGCGTGTGTAGCGCGGGATTTAATACGTCCTGCGAAAGCGGGGAGGAAACCCCAAACCATTTAAAATGTAGTGAGGAAGCCTTCCTAAAGTGTGACGTGCGAGAGGGAAAATGCGGGTAAATTTTCAATTCTGTACAGATTTATAAAAAAAACGCTTTCGAAAACCTTTCTTTCGTACGTACACTCGTTAAAATAATTTTAGCATTTCGAAAATTAAATTTCCGAGTATATTTTACTCATTATCCAGCTAAGACTGTTGTGGATGATGCGTTCGCGCGCAATCTCACTTAACCCGTGTTAATGTCTTTAAATGTAATTTCTAAAATGGCATCAACTTCTTGAGTGTTGAGATAAATGGGACTTTGATATTTTAATCTAAAGCTAATTTTTGGTACTACAAAACCTTGGTATTTTGAAAAATTAGAAAATTCATTTTTGAAGAAATTTAGTGTGCAAAAATAGTAAATGAATTTTCTAATTTTTCAAAATACCAAGGTGTTGTAGTACCAAAAATTAGCTTTACATTAAAATATCAAAAGTCCCATTTATCTCAATACTCATAAAGTTGATGCCATTTTAGAAATTACATTTAAAGACATGGAGCACGGGTTGAGTGAGACTAAACACTCTATGAAAATGAAGTAGAGCTTTAACCTGGATTCAGTAAATACAGTTTACTTAACTTGGAATTCAGTGTGCATTTAATCTTCAAAATTGTAACGTTATTTTTAAGAGTGTGAATAAATACTTAACTAGTTGCCAGTCCAGTTCGACCCAATTTTGGACGGGACAAAATGCAGTGCAAAAATTGGAGGGGAATGCGACCCTACCGGCGTTGACGACCCGCGTGTCATACAATGTCATCCCTCGGCCACGTGTATGCGAGTGGAGGATCGAGACTTGTGCTGGTGCAGGCAGGGATTTATTCCCAGGGAGGATCTCGTAACGTGTATTTCGAGCAGTATGGGGACCAAACTGACGAACGGAGACGCCTGTACTGCATGGGATTATAAGAGATATTGTGACGAGTCATACACTAATTTGTACTGCATTAATGCCACGTGTCAATGTCCAGGTAAGGAAAATTGTCGTAAAAAATGAAAAATTTATGAAGTCAATTAACCCCTGATATAAAAAAAGTACACTAAAAAATCCGGTAGAGTCACATATATGGACCGTCGGTACTTTTATCAATTTGGAAGTATGTAATTTCTTACCGGGGTGGTAGTAGTTTGATGTTGAGTGATAAATTTTTCATTATCATTAGGTTCGCTATTACCATACCGGTAGAGTAATATATATACCTATGTACTTTGGCCAGTAATAATTTAATAGGAATAAATTAACCACCCTCCTAAAATTATGGATTTTGCCTCTTAAATCATGGAAATAAACCCCCATTGTTATTTATGTACTCGCAGAATTTATTACCAGCTTTTTAACAGTGTACCAATTTTATCAACTCAGACGGTTACAAATTTGGTGAGTCGTGGTACTCCCAATGTTTCGCGAAGTACGGAACAGCGTGCAGCAGTTCATCCTCATTACCCCGAAATACCTGCCATCGCGACGAATTTCTCAACTGTCACGACAATACCTGCGTTTGCACCGAATTAACCGTGTACGAACCGGAAGTGGGACGGGAAGCGTGTTTCGTTCGGGTGAACGAAATTTGCAAAGGTGACGTGGGCGAGGGACGCTGCATCACAAATGCCATCTGTACCGCTCCAAATCCAGATTATCCCATTAATACCTATTGCCAATGTAAGGAGGGTTACGAGGAGGGGGTCGGGTCAAATGGGACAATTTGTACGACATCGGGAGGACATAAGATGAATAATTTCGGTCCGGGTATTTTCCTTAGTTTAATACTATTAATTTGGTTATTCTCCCAATAAAAAAAATTGTTAAGGATATCATGATTTGTATGTAAATGCGTAATAAAATTCCTATTGAGTAACCAATTTGCAAGATAAGATGGATGCAATTTCCTGTCAATTAAAATTATCTGAAAGTCCTGCCCAAAAAATGTGAAGTATCTGTATCGTAATTTGTAAATGCGCAATATGTAATTTCGGTTAATGACTAATAAAATTCCTCGTGAACAACGCATCTGCAAGATAAGTTGTGATATGTTTTACTTAACTTGTTGATTTACTGGGCTCAATTTCCTGTCAATTAAATTATCTGAAAGTCGAGTCGATCAATCAGATCATGCCGTACGACGTACACACATTTATAACGCTACATAATGCGACTTAAATATGTAAACTTGTACATGTACAAAATCCAAATTGCGAAATGTGGAGTCACCATTTGCACAAGATTACCAAGAAATTATGTATATTACTATGTGCACACTTGTCAAGTATTTAATTTAACTATCGATTTATGTACGTACTAGTCTCTTAAGCCCGCAATGCGGGTTCTAAGCAAAACAATTTTATTTAGTTTAGCGATACAAATTCCTGCTGAATAATTGTTACACATTTATCTTCACACAGAGCAAAGAAGCGTTGACTTGATTGTCACGTTTTATAGCACGATCTTTAATAATAGAGTTCACAACTCTATTGGTGTGACAACGAAAAACGTGCTGTCAGGACTCTAAACGGTGTGACCACGAAAAACGTTCAGTCACAACTCTAAACGGTCTGACCACGAAAAATGTTCAGTCATGACTCTAAAGGGTGTGACCACGAAAAACGTTCAGTCACAACTCTAAAGGGTGTGACCACGAAAAACGTTAGGTCACAACTCTACGGGTGTGACCACCAAATTTGTTCAGTTACTACTCCGAAGTGTGTGACAACAAAAAACGTTCAGTCACGACTCTAAAGGGTGTGACCACGAAAAACGTTCAGTCACAACTCTAAACGGTCTGACCACGAAAAATGTTCAGTCATGACTCTAAAGGGTGTGACCACGAAAAACGTTCAGCAACAACTCTAAAAGGGTGTGACCACGAAAAACGTTCAGTCACAACTCTAAAGGGTGTGACCACGAAAAACGTTAGGTCACAACTCTACGGGTGTGACCACCAAATTTGTTCAGTTACTACTCCGAAGTGTGTGACAACAAAAAACGTTCAGTCACGACTCTAAAGGGTGTGACCACAAAAAACGTTCTGTCGCGACTCTAAAGGGTGTGACCACGAAAAACGTTAAGTCACGACTATAATTGGGTGTGACCACGAAAAAACGTTCAGTCACGACTCTAAAGGGTGTGACCACGGAAAAACGTTCAGTCACGACTCTAAAGGGTGTGACCACAGAAAAACGTTCAGTCACGACTCTAAAGGGTGTGACCACGGAAAAATGTTCAGTCACAACTTTACAGGGCGTGTCTAGATCAAGAGGCGTAGTCAATTCCAAGGAGCGTTCAATTGTTCTAACGTTTTAAAAACGTTTAAGAACTTGAAGCGATAGCCCGCCCTCTAGCGCTGAAAAACAACCCACATCCTGTAGGTGGCGCCGGGAGGTAAATTAAAGTTGTAAGTGTCAACCATTGCGTGGGTTCCCAGTGGTCACAGGTCATATGTAAACTCAGGGGGGTGTGCGCAGGTCACAGGTTAAGTGTAAACTCGGGGGAGTGTGCCGAGGTCACAGGTCATATGTCAAGTCTAGTGGGTGTGCCTAGGTCACAGATTAAATATCAAGTCTAGTGGGTGAGCCCAGGTCACAGGCCAAATCCAAAGTCTAGTGGGTGTGCCCAGGTAACAGGTCAAATTCAAAGTCTAGTGGGTGTGCCCAGGTAACAGGTCAAATCCAAAGTCTAGTAGGTGTGCCAAGGTCATAGGTCAAATGTCAAGTTACGTGGGGGTATCGAGGTCACAGGTCAAATGTCAACTCTGGAGGGCGTGCCCGTTCATGTGATCAAGTCGGATCTAAATGCGTGTAGCGTTAGTCAACGATTTGGAAACGTTTGACACTTTAGCGAAAAACGCCCTCTAGAAACGAAAAATGTAACATAGTGACCCAACTGCCGCTAGGTGACATTAGCTTGGACAATGTGAGACACGTGTGTAATCAAGCGCCAAGTTCAACTGGTAACACACACCACTGCACAATTCTTGGTTCTGATGTAATGTTTCAATTAAAAACGTTGGAATTTTGACATTTGACATCCCGGAAGACGGCCAGACGTACTTGAGTTAGGCATACATATGTATGTATGTGTCGGTGTTTGACGCAAGCAAGGTTTTCCTGATTATGCAAAGTTGACAAGGTACTGATTACATAATTATTATGTACCTGACGACCACCAGGGAATAATCAATTACGTAGAAGCGTCGCAATTTGGTCCCCACGTGAACACTTGATAACGCTGTCAATCAAAGAGAGCCTGGAAGAATGAATTACGTCGCAATTCAGTTATCCCCTGAATGGTTTGATAACACCAAATCAATTAATTGAGTAATCGACAAAGTACTTTGACGCGTAGTTAATAACGATTATTCATTCCTCCACGGGTGTAGGGTGCGCATTGAAATAATTAAACGTTAAAAAAATGGTGGGCAACACCAAGGCGCAGTATTTAGTCTTATTCTCGATTTCAGCCGTGACCAGCAAATTTCTAGACTACGGGGTACCGTGCAGTCCCAATGACACGGAGAATATCTGCGACCCCGCAATATTCCTGACCTGCGTGGAGGACACGTGTCTCTGCAATGAAACAATGGCCTGGGATGTTAAAAATGTGTCGCAATGTAGTTTCAAAGTGATGACGACATGTCCGCGATATCCGGCGCATAGGGGACCCTTTTGCTATGGAACGGCAGTATGCGATGGTATGTATACTTATGCGTGTCACAGAATTTGCATAAATCTCACTATGCCCATTTTCGGCGATACGGGCTTTCCACGTTGAACAAACTTTATGGCTCGTGTTAATTTTGTAATCTCTGATTAAAAAATAAACTTCGAAGTTTCCACTATTTTTGAGTACAAGTTTTCAAATATTGACAGAAGGAGAAGTCAGGACTAATTATTATTTTATATATTTTTTTTTTATTTTTTCAAAGCTTAATTAGAAAATATTCGAATTTAATTTTTAATAAGAGTTTTTGTTTACTACAGAATTGTGGGGTAATCCGTACGACGGAATTTGCACGTGTCTCGCACCCGATGTGCCATCCCCAATTGGCGGATATTGTCTCCATCTGGCCCGCGAGGTGGGCGAGTATTGCACCCAAGATGGTGTCACGTGCAGTGTAAAGGAGAAATTAGCTTGCTCCGGCACCCGGTGTGGGTGTCAAGCAGGCTGGCTGGTCAACGGGACCGTGTGCATGGCGGGATTTAATGCCAGGTGCAAAGTTGGGAGCGAGCTGCCAACCGAAACCTGCAGGAGGAACACGTTGCTCACATGCAATGAGGAAACGGAAAAGTGTGAATGCACGCGGGGAATTGAGCACGTTTGGAATGAGGAGTCAGCCATGTGTCTAACCAAGATTGGGGCAACTTGCGAATTTGGGGATGTTGATCATCACTCGTGCGTTGAGAACTCGCACTGTCGAACAGTGCAAAATGGTTAGGTTTTACATTATTTTAGCGTCGAGGGATTTCATTAGGGGTTAAATCCTAAATGCTTGCGAACTTTTGTAGTTAAAGTTAATTTTATGGTGGGGATTTATTTGATATTTATTGGGTAAAAAAAATATTTAGTTGGGGGGTAATTATTAATTATTGGAGCTCATTTTCACAATTTAAGTAGTAAACTTCATCATTTTAGATGGCTTATTAATTTAATTTATTTTTGTGATAGATGGAGCTAAAATTTGCACTTGTAATCAGTACTACCATGCCTCCCCGGATGGGATGGAATGTCTGCTAGACCCCGCAGAAAAAATCCTCTCCCATGGGGAACAGTGTGATCCAGATAATTTAGTCGAAATCTGCAATTACGCCAAAGATCAACTGTGCACCTGTCCCTACCAAAGTTTTACCTGCTTTTGTGAATGCGACGCGGGCCTACTGGTGAACTCTAGGGGTGACTGCGAAGCCGGTTACAAAGCACCTTGCAGCAGTTTGCCAAATCCGGGTACTAATCTGACCTGCAATTCTGAAGCCTTTATGAAATGTCGTGAAAATGAAGGAAACTTTACGTGCGGGTAAGGGCAAATGTTTACATAAATTAAGTTTTGAAGCAAAGCCCAGCCAATACATGCGCTTTTAGATATGCAGTATTAATATTATACCAAGCGGTATGACTCTACCAAAGTGGCATTGATTAGTAATACGTTGTAGTAATTAATAACTAACTCTAATAACTATTAAAGTTTTACCATATCGGTGGCAAATTTCTACAGACCGGTATAACTTCGGTAGCACAACCTAAAAATATCAAGAAATCAATACCTATAAACCTGACCGAAAATAAAAGTTTTTGTTCGTTTCGTTTAAATTTTTTCTTGTAAAAAACCCGTTCTGAGTACTAGCTTTAAGCTTCAACTAAATTCCAGGTGTGATTCGCCCCTCACACAAGCGTATAATCCATTGTCGAAGATGTGTCACTTACTGGTGGGCCAGGAGTGTGACGTCACCCTTAACCCGGACAAAATATCGTGTCATTCAACCTCCATTTGTCGTACGACAGGGGGCGAATCGACGTATTGTTGGTGCCAGCAGAACTATGAACCCTCCCTGGACCAGGCGAGCTGTAACTATAATTATGAAAACCAAACATTGTTGTTGCCCGGGCAGGAATGCGAAGATTGGAATTATGGTGAATTCTGCCCCCACGTTTGGAATCTAATCTGTCTTAATGGAACTTGCCAATGTCCGGAAGGTAGTTAACTACCGTAAAAAATATGTTAGAGTCAAATATTTACTCCGTACTGGTTTTTCGCTTCGTATTAAATTAATCATTTCCTGGAATTAATTGACTTTCACTATAAACTTTTTACTAAATGGGAGTACTTCTTCAAATAAATTAAAACTTTCTTATTCAAGTTTTTGCTAAACTTTGTCACTTGAAAAATCCGTCTTGAGTACTGGGCTTAACATACCCTGCGTGTAAACAGGTCCGTGTGGTACCATTTTAATCCTGTACTTCTAACAGTTTATTTATGTACCCTTGTCACAGGTGGGTTTCTCTGGAGCGGTGAGCACCCTTGGGAAGGTTGCTACCCTCAGGAGGGGAGCTTGCGAGGTTGATAATAACAGATCTTGGTGCCCTTTGGATATGTGGTAGGGACCCATGAGTGTACTAAAACCCTGAAGTAGTTTGACTCCATGGCCACATTTGCGCCCGCCACACCCACTCAAAAATGCCCAAAAAACGCTTTCACTCGAGTTTTCACTCACTCAAATCCACGTCAAAAATCCAATTTTACTCGGATTTTGAAATTTCTTTCACCATTATACTCCCAGATAGTTGCTTTCTTCAATCCAATATCAAACTCAATTTTATTGATGATTATTTCGCAAACATAATTTGTTTTGTTGATGACTACAACAATGCTCATTCAGAATTTTAAATTTTAAAAATACTAAAAATTTCGAAAAAATTGAGTTTGATATTGGATTGAAGAAAGCAACTATCTGGGAGTATAATGGTGAAAGAAATTTCAAAATCCGAGTAAAATTGGATTTTTGGCGTGGATTTGAGTGAGTGAAAACTGGGGTGAAAGCGTTTTTTGGACATTTTTGAGTGGGTGTGGCGGGCGCAAATGTGGCCATGGAGTCAAACTACTTCAGGGTTTTAGTACACTCATGGGTCCCTACCACATATCCAAAGGGCACCAATATCTGTTATTATCAACCTCGCAAGCTCCCCTCCTCAGTACGGGATGCCTTGCAAGTCTAACTCCCCCATTAGTTTGACATGCGATCGCTGGAATAAGCTCAGGTGCGGGAGGGAGGTGCGTCTGCGGCTATACCTACATACGAGAGGACTCCGAGACGGGGTCAAACCGAACCGGGTGTTTCTTAAGGGTTGGTGAGAAATGTGATGCGACGGAGGTTGAACCCTTCCCCTGCCTTACTAACACCACCTGTGCGGCGTATCAACCCGGTGAACCGACCGAGTGCATGTGCAACCCGGGCTACGAGACGGACCCGGACACGTTTAGGTTAACTTGTAAAGTTGCCGGTGGTGGTGGGGGTCTTATACACCTGCCAGTGTTTCGATTAGAAGGTTTCCTAGTAATTTTACCAACCTTGTTATCATTTAGAATTTTGGAATAAAGTTAATATGTAAACCTAAATGTTAAAAAGTTACTTTAATTATTGCCCAATTTATCTCGTGGTATTATTATTAACCTTTTTTCACGTAAATCCGCGATATGATGTATTTCAAAACATGTCCCTAAGAGACCAAATATGTCATATCGCGTATTTAAAAAAATCCTTTGCATACCAAATTCGTCATATGACGTACCATGACGACTGTCCCTTGAGGACCAAATACGTCATATCACGTATTTAAAAAAAAATCTGATTTCTCAAAATTTCTAAAAATGTGAGTGTTTCTTTAGTAATTTGTGGAAAACTCGATGGTAAAAAGTTGACATTTTGGGATAGTTTGCTTCACAAATTCTAGAATTTTCTCTATACCGACCAATGTTAAAAAGTGGAGTTTTCGTGATTTTCGGCAAAAAACTCGAAACTTGTAAACTGGTTGAAATAAATATTGGGTTTTTACAGAAAATCAGGGAAATTCAATTGGTTGCTACCAAATAAATGTAGTTATGAATTCAATATGGTACTTAACGGAAATTTTAATCGAGATAAATAAAGTTGAAAGAGGTTAATATTATGTACACATATGCAAAAAAAATATATGCGTGCATGTAAAAAAGATCCAGCCTCGCCGTGGTGGTGTCTAATTAGTTAAGATATTTGAGTACAAAAAAAACAAGTGAACGTAAATAAATACATGATTCCATTTCTTAAATGCTAATTTACTTGAAAACGTATGTACTTGAATTGTTCGTAAAATTAGTTTGACAAAAGTTCAGATAACCAAATATTTAAGGAAGAGCTACGTACAATCAAAAGCTTATCTCATAAAAATTATTAAATAAGAGTTAGAAAAGGTGGATTAAAATAATGAGAAAATTCATGGCAAACTTTTGTACATAAGTATGATTTCAAAATTTCAAACTTTTATGAACATCTGGAATTATTTTGTACTCGAAATTTCACTCAGCAATTATATACCTTTTTCTTAGACATTTTCATTCCTGTCTCCACAAAAAGAACTCAATTATTCCACAAGTGATGGCATACAAAATTCCAAAAGCCTGAAAAATAAAAATGCGCTGCAATCTAAAAATTCATAAAGTTCCAAATAATTTTTACAAACATACCCCAGCAGAAACTCTGCGTTCATAATTCAACTCGTAAACGAAGCCGTCGTTCGTGTAAGAGATTTTCCATGCTTGCTTAAACCTCGCAGTGGACACGAGGAAGAAGGACGCCGTGGTGATTAAACAAATCCCGGCAGCGATGTGGTAAAGTTTGTCCTGTTCGGAAATAAAAAAAAATGTGGAATTTTGAAAAGTTAGTTGAATAACTTGCAAAATTCGATGAGCGTTCGCAAACAGTTGCAAAACTTTTGTACTTAGCAGAATAGATGCAGGCATTTTAGTGTTTTGGGCATATTCACGTCAACGTATTGCATTTCGCATGTAAAGAGTTAGCGAAATAATCTTGTGTAAAGGAAATAAACCTTTTCCTGTGTGAATTTGCGAATAAAAAAACATGTCTTTCCTCCAAAAGGTTTGCAAAACCTGGAAAGTTTTGCAATGATTTGGAAGTATTTACAAGATTCGAGTGGATAACGATATTCAGTTTGCGAACTATGCATTTGAAGATTGTGGTGAGTTTGACCTGTGTAACAGGTTATGAAATAATTTTGCAAAGGTTGCACAAACATACACGTGAATTATCTAATAGATTTATGTAAATAAATGCTAACAAATTATTCAGCTCTTATGAATTCTGAACCCGTTCACGCAGTCATTGGTAACTTTATAAAATTCGTTCGGTTTGCAAAAGAATTTTAGAAACTTTTACAAAATATCGTCGCCCTTGATCTGAATAAATTTATACAAATTTGGGAGCTACTTTTGCTTAAAAATATTTGTACAAGTTTGTTACATAGTTTTTTGGATTTTACAATGTTACCATTGCCGGCGTGAGTTAGGTGATTATTTAATTACCACTTTCTGTATTGTTTCTGAATCTTTCAATCCCATCGAGCACGTTAGAACGAGCAAGATAACGGAGATGGATAAGCACAACGCGCTACAGAAAAAGAAGGCTTCTTCCTCTGAAATGGGTAAATGGTTGTGGGACAAGGACAGCGCTAAAATGCCAAAAACCTGAAAATGGGAGCAGTTTTTTTAAATAAGTAAATTTCAAAATTTACAGGAAATTTATGCATTGATAATTAACTCACGATGGATAAAATCCTAATCTGGACGACCCTCTGGGACAATAATTCCTTGAATTTGCTCATTTTAAAGAATTTCAGATTTCTATGGTGATACTTGGGAAAACTGTTACATAGGTATCTGGTAATGTTTTCTCTGTATTAAATTTGCTACCGCTTGGTATTAAAATTATACCTAGCCGTAAAAATTTGCTACGATACGGGAAAACTATAGTAGAGGATATTACTACATAAACAGTATTACTTTACTAAATGGCAGGGGTGGGCAAGATACTTTGGTCGGAAGATACAAGATACAAGATAAGATACTTTCTACGACAAGATATAAGATACAAGATAAAAGATACATCTTGTTCAAGTACACAAGATACAAGATACAAGATAGTTTGCTAAAAATTGAGTAGTCAAGATACAAGATACAAGATATGTATCTTAAGATACTTTTATACTAGATAAGATACTTTCTTTTTTTAGCTTGGTATTCATATCTAATTAGTCATGTTTAATCATTTAAACGAAAAAATCTAGTAAGTACAAAATTTAAAATCATTCTATAATCATCTAACAAATTTTGTTTCCAGTGCTTATACTTAGAAAAATTTCGAAATTTCGAAAAACTACAAAGCTACCTAACATACGTATATTTTTAAGAAGTTGGTATTATTTTTACAACATTCTCTGCTTGTTCAAACTAAACCCTATAAGATCTATACACTAGTTCAGCGTAGGAACATATCATGTAATGTGCAACGTATTTATGTATGTATGTGTACAAATGTACGAGTACACATGAACATATATACATATGCATATATGTACATATGTATGTACAAGTTTGTTAGAAATTGGCAAAACATAAAGTAAAAATTCACCAAACTCTGGTTACGCCAAATTCATGGTCAAATTGACTTTCTGTAGTAAGAAATTGACTTAATTTGACGGAATTTTGAGAAAAAGTATCTTGTCAACTATCTTAAGATACTTTTCTGCCAGGCATATCTAGATAAGATACTTACACAAGATACTTTCGACTTTCTAAAAGATACAAGATACAAGATACAAGATACTTCTCTGATCAGGCGACGAAGATACAAGATAAAGATACTATCTTGTATCTTGTATCTTTTATCTTGTATCTTGACCAAGTATCTTGCCCACCCCTGCTAAATGGCACGTTGGTAGTCATATGTACCTACGGTTTGGTACTGTTTTAATACTTGATTTTTTAGAGTGAATCAATAATTAAAACTTTTGACTTTATCAGACAAGCAAAAAAGAACACGAACTGGCCGTTTTTCCTCTTTTCACTGACGCATACATACATACACACGTCTTAAACTGCTTCGTTCACCTGTTTTTGCACCTGGCTATGTTACCGTGATTGTTAAAAGGAAGAAAGCGTTCATATACAACAATGGGTATGCGTAAACAAACATATGGGCCTGAGTTTCATCAAGTATTTCTTACAAACATGTATGTATCGATGCATCATTACATATACTGCTGAAGACGTAAGACACTTGTACATACATAAACTGGTTAAGCGGAAAGGGATGTGAACCATCTTCACTCACACATGGATGCCACAAAAAATAGTGTGTCTACGATAAACAAGATACATATCCGGCTAAAATGAACCCCTCGAGTTCAACATTGAATTATGTATGTATGTAAATTAACTTGAAATTACTAAACTTGTCGAGTATGTACATATTCATGTATCCAATGCTGCACAAAATTGCGCTGCCTTGATTTTGAATATGTATAAATTTCCATATGATTATTGAACTTTGCCCGTCAGTAGGATAACGCGAGAGATAATTGAGATCTGTGTGTGGCATTATCAATTCGACCGTAGGTGGAGGATACTATTATATAACTTTCCCAGAATTTTATGGATAATACTAATATAAATTTAAATTTTGAAAATCTTAAGTTCTAGAAAAATTGTTTCGGAATCGTCTAAACCACAGTTTTTCATATTTCCCACTTATTTTGGGTAGGTGGTAAAAGTGCATTTTCCCGCTGCCTTGGTAAATTTGTTTTTTACCAATTGAAACCCTGTCCGTAATTTGCGTAGGCAACTGCGAAGGTTCCGCATAAAAACTATTACAGCCCTTTTGATCGCGTTCCTACACTCCACCAGTAAAATTACGCCTGCACCCGCGATTATGGTTGCACATAAAGCGAGAACATAAAACAGCGCGGGAAACGCTTCCTCGTGAGAATTATTGATTTGGACATTTTCCTCTCTAAGATTAGAAGTGAACTTTAAAAATAATTTTTTTCTCAATCCTTCTCCAATCCTTCTGATGAAAAATAATTGTATCTGCATATTGTCGAGTAACTGCCATCTCTCAGTAATCCCAGATTCCGTCAGTTTTAAAATTACCGTCGAGATTCCGCTCGATATATGATTCCGGTTGCCGAAAGTTATCAAGTTAAACTGGAACGGAGTATCTTCCAAACTATTGATAACTAACCGCTGCCCAATCGTTTTTAGTTCCTCGGTGAGCCTGGCAATATCCATGTCGTCATCCATAACTGCAAACGTGTCTCTTGTCCTAATTTCAGTCTTGTTCACCAAGATAATTCCCGCTTTTGAAATTATCTTCGTTACGTCAGAGGAACTGTAGATTTCGGGCGAAACGTAGACTATCCGTTGTATAAAGTTTGCCAAAAATGAGGCAAATTTATTTTGATCGCGAATCCAAATAAGTGATGGCAGTAGGGCTTTAATGAGGCAATAAGGTCTCCGTTTGGATGACCTGGATTTACCATAGAATTAAGGAAATTTAATTAAGATTAGATGAAGACTTAATATGTCTCAGGAAGATTAATTTGAATCAGATCAAAATAAGATCGATTTTCTCAAAGAAATTTTTCTGGTTTAATTAGAATATTTATCATGGGGGTAATGTCATGTCTCTCCAAACCAATGAGAATTACCCTCCAAATACTTAACAAGTCACCTAAAGTATAGGCGTACAGTATATGTAAGTCTATCCACCCTCATACTTTTTGCACGTAAAGGTATTGTTCCAGAAGCTTGACTGGATCAACTGCAATTTTGCACAAATATTCAGGAGTTTGACAATACGGAAGATTGTATCCTTAGATTTCGTCGAAATCACCGGACATTTACTTACAATGAGATGATACCAGCGGTCTCGCCCCGATTTTGACGAAACCCCGAAGCTTTAGATAGATAATTAAACACGTGTTTCAGGATTTTTCATAATGCTCAGTTTTAGCGAAATTATGATAGAAAACCTGTGCGAAAATTTCCATTTTCACTGCAATTTTTCTTGCATGGGAGAAAAAACGTTTAAACTAAGCATTATGAAAAATATTGAAATACGTGTTTAATTATTTATCTAAAGCTGCATAATTCTCGTGGTTTCGTCAAAATCGGAGCGTGACCGCCGCGCGCCATTACATTGTTAGAAAATATTTATGCTCAGTAATCAAGCACTAAATTTCTTAGCATAAACCATCAGACCCGAAAGACATGACCCAATTAACCTTGAATTGAAGAATTTGAATACCCCTTTCACAAGCTCATTTGCGAAGTCAACACCAAGAAGTATACTTGCCTTCTAAAAGGATCCGGGGGGGCATATGTACCAAATACCAATTTGACTGTATTTATATAACAAAGAAAAACTTTAAACACATTTTTCATTAAACTTTCATCGGTGTGGAAAGACTCGAATTTTCCTGTTGAAATTTTGCATATATGTAATTACACCGTGTCGTTGATTGTGCCACAGCATATTCCAAAGTATGGTTCCGAAAACCTTGCATCATGATAAGAAATTGTGCAAAATTGCAGTTCATCCCATCAAGCTTCTCGAGCAGTATAACGCTTTAAGTGAATAAACAAGCCCCCAAAAAAGGGAAATCTTAGTGAGGCTGGCTGCAGCTATCAATATTAAATAAATTTTTCGGAACAGCATTTGAATCACGACTCCCCAAACTATTTTAGCCTAGATGATTTAATTACTGGTAGAATTATTGATTACGTACATTGTAGATTTACAAATTGAATAACAATGAAAAACTTTATTCTTTTTTAATGGTGTCAAGTTTTCGATCTCGGTTGCGATCGTCATCATAACGGACTTAATTACATAATTATTAACAAACTACTGCAATTAAATATACACTCTAAGAAATTTTATCACCAGCGCGGTGGTCATATGTGACTCTACCGGCAGGTGGCAAAAGACCACCGGAGGGTGGATGCCCATCACCAGCTTAGTGATGATCAATCACCGTGCGGTGGTGCAGTTGTCACCGTTCGGTGGTTGCAGCTGTCACCATTCCGGTAGAGTCACATATGACCACCGCGCGGTGATAGTTATCACGAGGTTTCTTAGAGTGTATTGAACTAAAGATTTCGAATGAAGACAACAGGAATAATGCATATTCTGATCAATACAAACTAATGTGCGAATAGATAGTTTTAAGAGTGGTGAAGCAAATGCTGTTCCGAAAAATTTATTTAATATTGATAGCTGCACCCAGCCTCACTGAGATTTCCCTTTTTTGGGGGCTTGTTTATTTAATACTTGTAATTGAGTTATTTAGATTCTGAACACCACGCATGCCCGAAATTAAATTTTGCATGTATGTAGTTTGCAAATATTTTGCCACATAACTCGAGTATGTAGAACTCATATATTCATTTCATTAGTTGTTGTCAATGACGTTTTTTTTACCACCCCTTAAGCTTCATCCAATTTTGTGCACCTCTTATAGGAAAAACTTTGTCATTTATGAACCGATTTTAATCATACTACCCTTAAAATTTGCATAAAAATTTACTCTAAAATTTGTGCAATTCGTTTTTCATTACGATACGCCATTAATTAGCTATAAACATAAATACGTTTCCAGGGGTATATTTTTGCCCATAACTCGCGTAAAAATCAAGCATTCGCTAAGTCGGACCAGATCCCGGTTCTAAATTATGTAACAATAATCGGTGCAAAATTTCATCAAAATCGGTTGAGAAATGACTGAGATATCGCAGATGGTCACTTTTTTGGGGTGGGGTAAATGCATACTTAGTAAATTTTTTTCGTTGTTAGGTATTTTCCTCACTAAGAAAAAAGTATGAGGGTGGAAAGACTTTCCGCCTATACTGTAAGTGGAAAGCAAACTCTTAATCTTCTAAATTTTATCTCCTGTTAAATGGAAAAAGTTCATAGTGATCATTAAAAAATAGATTTACCCGAATTTCGCCCCTTGCAGGGATTCAGCCCCCAATTTGTTCACCGGCCACGTTGTGCTAGTAGTAATTATGATGAGATTAGATTCATCCAAGTCCCGCAAACTTCTTGGAACGACGGGAAACGGGGTAACCGTCAAATCGGAAGTGATTGATCCCTGGTACAAATTTTGCATGAGAACGTTACACCCAAAGAACCACACGGTCAGCAAGGGAACAGCTTTCCTGTACTTTTGCAACCAATTCACTAAATCACTGCCATTCTGACTGAGAAAAATCGAAGCAAATGTGATCAAATCATGGAGGAATATGGCACTATATTCTACCCTGTTTTTAGGGAGATTGCGCAACACCCGGGTAAATTGAATTAGAAGAGTAACTGCAATACAAAATGTGACCACTAATGTCCACGTCCATCCGTCAAAGGGGGTAAACACGTTTCCAAAATAACTTTCCGCCTTGGGAAATTGTGTGACTACTGAAAATTTGAATTTCTTAAAAGTTAGCGTGTAAATCATCGGCATTCTGTTGCTGTTAATGTCACTCCAATCGTTGTCTTTTACTACGTAACTGAAGCCGACTATGGTTTTACCGGCAGATCTCCTAGGAAGGAGGTAATGCACTGGGGTGAAATTAAGCCGCGCTCCGATCACATAACTCTGGCAGTGTGGGACAGTCTCCGAGGCGGGAAATTTACTTAGGCTCACACCGCAAAAAGGTGGCTTATCATATACCATACCAATTCTTGTAGCGTAGTTCGTAATTAAAGCACTTCCCTGCATGTCACGTTCGTTTTGCTGAGTCCAAATTGAGTTGGCCGTGCCAAAGGAGAAATTGCGCTGGTTGAGTAACCTTCCTTGGGGAGGATTGAGACAGGGAAAGCATGGAATGAAGGTGTTCCATTTTCTGAAAAATATTATCTTGGACGACTCAATGAAAAATGACACGTGGGAAAGGCGCAAACGGCCAGACAGGTAGGCGAAGATGTATTCCGCGTTTGAGATTCTGTTTAAGTGTAAAAGGAATAGGTTTGAAACGAATACAATTTCTTGAAGGGTACATCTCTTTAG